TGCAAGCAGACTGCAAGTATGGGCATCCACTCACAATGTCCGCTTTACTGTTTAGCCTTCAGTATATATGCCACATGATTTGGCTGAGGTGGCTGGTGTCTGATAAATGTTGGTGCCTCAGGCTGCGAAGAAGCGAAGCTTTACGCCAAGGTATCCGCCGACTAGCTAGCTAGACAACATCGGACCATCAAGTTCGAGGAACAACGCCTCCCAATCGAATGTTTGGATATTTGCGTCTGTTTGCGTAATCTGCCAAATCTCATCAAGGTGGGGAAGAGCTGGAATGTTGTCCTGTTCGTTGGCAATGATGTCGGTCAGGCTGGATGAGCTGTTGTCGGCACAGAGGGACTCAGAAATGACCTCGCTGACCGACATATCATGTTTTCGCACAACTCGCTGGAACGATTCAAGAAGCCTGATGGCAACGGGAGAGTCTTTTGTGGCGTCCTTCAGGATGCTACATGCATCGACTACTTCCGCCCGGCGCGCTTGCCGAGGTACAGGTTCCTGAGAAAGACACATGTCCAGAAAGAGGGCTGTAATCGCGATGCCAACACACTGCAAGATTCCGGAGAACTTCAGTCTCGTAAGCACAAAGGGGATATCCTCGCTTGCCAGCATTCTTTCTGCCTGTATGACACACCGAGCCGCTTCCAGGCAAGCCTCCCTTGAGGGGGCATACGTCGGATCGACCAAGCCGCGGGCTAAGTACGGGAGATGTAGTCGGCACCGTTGTGAGTGAACCAAGGAATTGATGATATACCGCTGAATCATGATTCCCGGAGCAATGTTCGGGTACTTGGCAATGAGGCCGTCCAGAGCATCTCCATCCAGGCGGAAGAACTGTGGTAATTGTTTGATGAATGTCACAATCCTCTTGTCCACCTCCAAAAGCCGCCTAGACTCCATATCGCCATCATTAAATGTGGTCATTGAAGAAGAGTCTACGACTTCCCGACATATCTCTGCCAGCTTGATACGCTGAAGGCTATATGAGATCTCGGTGGGTTGCTCCATCGGTCGGTCAATGATGGGGGAGCCAGCCATAAGATTTTCATCGTCGACATTGCGAGGCTTTGAGACCACCATATGTAGCGGGTTGATGCTGTAAGTGCCTCTATGAGGACCAGGGAATTGTGATGCCATCCTGTGCCACTCAGTAACGGCTTTGGCGAGAGCAGCGTGGGCGATGATACATACCAATCCGTAGCAACCAGATACCACCATACTCTTCGCTTCATTTCGGAGTCAACAGAGTCAGCAGGAGTGTCCTCTCTTCCGTCTATCTCTGGTTGATGGTCGACTTTGTGCAACGAGAGTTCTCGCGCTACTGTTATGGCTGTTGACAACAGGTCACGGAATCGAGCACTGATACCTTCCAGATTAGCGATGACAAAGGATATGATGATCATTGCCTGGATGGCTTCGATGGATTGAAGGGATATGCGACGACAGTGATCTAGCAAGTCAAGAGTTCCTTTGACCCACAGAGAAGATGTTGCATTCACCTTCTCGGGAGTCGCAAACGGTGCATCTGCTGAGTCTGTCCGAGTCCATGTATACATCGCACTCGACAGGATGCTTAGAAGAAGTGCCACCTGACAAGGACTAACAGGTGCATGCTGCTCAATGTCATTGTAGATGTTGTCGACCATTGTACGCAGTGGACCGCTAAGGATAAGGTGATGGATGTAGGTGATATCACGAAAGTATTTTTCAAGCAGAACCACCGACTCTTGGTATAGTGGAATTGAAAAGCTTCTCGAGTAGCCTGGACTGCTACTCTCAATGGTCATAACACTGGCTATACTCCATATTGGACATGATCGAAAGGTCGTCGTGTCGGTTCGGACTGAACGCTGTGTGTTGGTTAGCTACTCGAGTCTCAGCAGAACTTCGAACCACACGTACACAAGACACCTGGCTTGCACACTCAGCTTCGAGCCATATTGCATCTGCTGCAGCCTGCTTATCCTTTCGTGCTAACTGTGGTCGACTCCTACGACGATCTGTCTTTGCATCTTGCGCTCGAATAGATTGACTGTTTGTTCGAAGAACGATGTCCTCTAGCCGTTGTAGGCGTGTCAAAATATCAGCCGTCCCGTGGCTATCATTATTATGAGGGCTGTCACTTGATGCTGGAGCTGAATACAGCCCGCAGTCAATTCCACGGCTGATGCAGTTGGAGCAGGGGAGCTGACGGCTGCACCGTAATTTTCGCGACCGACAAAAGTGACACGAGACAGGCCTCAAGCGAGAAGTTTGCTTTTCTATATGTGATCGAGGAGGCATCCTACACTTCTTTGACGTCTAAGTATTCAAATAGAACAATGGTGATGACTAATGCAAAACAAAAGACGTGAGAGTCGACACGAGGGTGGCGAAGGATCCGAAGGCTCCTCAGTCTAGCCAATCATCGTTGGTGTAGTCCGCGGATATTCCGCGGAGAGAGCCAAGCCCTGATATGAAGCTCTATAAAATCCAATGATGCTGCTGGTCTTCTATGCACCAGACCACTCATTTCGTTTCCAATGGACTCTATCATCGATCAGATTCGTACCTTGGCCGGCACGGCTGATGAGCTAGGTCGCACCAGCATTTATAATGATCTCCGCTCCCTTCTGCCGGAACTTCAGAGCCCGATGGATATGATCATGGATCTTTTCAACTCTGTACTCTGCGTTCTCCATGTATCATATCGCCCATTAGCTGACACGTTTCCTAGCACCTCAGAGTTTCAGTCATCATGCTCGGAATGAATGCTGGCCTTTTCCGAAAATTGGCTGTGGACGACCGCGTATGGACAGCCTCGGAACTGGCAAAGGATCTGGGGGTTGACCTACTGCTCCTGGGTAAGCATTTCTCATTGAAGCTTCAAGAATTCATGATGACTAAGATTACAATCACTTGCAATCAGAACGCATTCTTCGCTACCTTGCAGCAAATGGTATCATCGAAGAGACGACTGTGGGACAATTCCGAGCCAAGCGAACAACTAGAATGCTGGCAGATGAGCGTTCGGAGGCATTCGTACTCTACGCGTAAGATCAGTCCATGGTATATAAACTTTGGGGTTGTTGGCTTACTTATTCATGGACAGATTCGAAACCTGTGGGCCAGCCAGTCAAGCATTTCCGGCGTTCTTCGCAGAAAATAACTACGATGATATTATGGATAACAAAAACACCCCATTTCAAATAGCCTTTCAAACAGACCTCACCTGTTTTGAGTGGTTATCCAAGCAGCCAAAGCTGTTTAATTCTTTACAACAAGTCATGACCGGTCTTCAGTCCACGGACTGGCTTTCGGGTTTCGACCTCTTTCACCAAGAAGCGGGTCGCGTTGCTCCAAACCCAGTGCATCCTGGAGAGCCTTTCTTCGTCGATGTCGGCGGTGGCCATGGCCACCAGTGTATTCAGCTCAGGGACAAGTATCCCTATTTCCGAGGACGCCTTGTGCTGCAGGACCTGCCCGAAGCGGTCGACCACCTTCCTCCCCTGGACGGTATCCAGGTTATGGCTCACGACATATTTCAGCCACAGACCATGAAGGGTGAGCAGATCCTATATCTCTATATCAATCACCATCTAACCAGAATTTCAATTTAACAGGAGCAAGGTTCTACTACCTGCGACGGATCCTTCACGACTACCCGGATTCTCAATGCACCCAGATCCTTCAACACCTGGCCACTGCCATGGGGCCTCACTCAAGAATCCTCGTGGACGAGATGGTGCTACCAGATGTGAATGCATCATGGCAAGCGACCCTGGCTGATATATCACTGATGATCTCACTTGGTGGTAAGGAGCGAACCAAGAAGCAATGGACGGGGCTGGCCGAGCGTGTAGGACTACGCATTGAGGATATACACACCTACGATCGCGAGTCCAAGACGTCTATAATTGTACTTCGGCACCAATGAGGGCTGTGTTATCTATCCATAAGATGGGTGCTATTGGAAGATTATTGGTGCAGGATTAAGAGACTAGCGGCCTGCTTAAGAATGCACCCTCGTTTGGCCACTAGTATTTATCTATAATGCTCAGTTAGTTATCATATCATATATCTCTACTCATCAACATGGAGCACCTTGCTCAGCAACTAAAACACAGCGTGGCATGATTCGAGTTGATACAAAGGGCAGCACCACCAGGACCATACCATTCCTGGCTATGTGCATTCATAATTTGAATCCTACAGCTCTAAATCAAGGCACGGGGCGTACAGCGGGGGGTGCTCCCGCGCCACCCGCAACAGTAGCAGTACACCGATGCATCCATCCCCACTCCAAGTGAACTACATCTTCAGTCTCATATACTTTCACTATCCAGTCACCCAACCACGTGCCCTAATCCAGTCCAAAGAACTCCGATCCCCCCAAAAAAACAAGCACCCACTACCAATGCATAAATCCTTCAAGAACCAAGAAACTCATAACCCCCAGAAATAAATATATACCCGCGCACATGAAGCCAACAACACCACTCATTGGAGAACACATGAAGTAAGAGTGGGTTCTATCCGGAGCATCCGTCGGACTCCCTAGCTCGGGACGGACACTACCGAGCACTAGTATATGTGATCCTCAGGTGAGATAAATCTCTTCTCGACGAGTAATGGGAGAACGTGGCTTATCTTGGGGATGCTTGTTCTTTCTTGGCGTTTGCTTGTTTGATTATGTTTTCAGACCATAATTGGGTACAAGGGAGGGGTTAAAGGATGTTAGTCTGGCCTGAGATACTCGATCTCCGTCGGAGTTACCATTATTCTTGTTGGCATTTTTGTTTCGATTGTTGGTTTGTGGAGGTCAAGTTAATGACTAGATGAGTAGACTGCATACAGTGACGAAGATGGGATGAATAATAGGGAACCTGAGGGGGTTCAGAGAGTACTATAAATAGGGAGGAGAATCTTCTTTGTCTCAAATACTATCAGACAAGAACAAAGACAGAAGAAGAAGAAGAATAGTAGAGAGATCATCCTTAAAGCAAAACACAATGTTCCAACTCAAGGTACATACACACCTTTCCACTCCTGTCCCACCCCATCTTAACCTCACCAAACCCCCTCTAATGAACACCTTATAGACAATCCTCACCCTCCTCCCCATCTTCCTAACATCTACCCTCGCCGCGCCCTCTCAACCCCACCCCGACACCCGCTCCGACTCGAAATGCGTCTACTACTGCGGCAGCCACTGCTACTGGGCTAGCGACATCAGCAAAGCGCAAGCGAAGGGGTACTCCTTACACGAAGAAGGGCGAACAATCGACGACTACCCACACGTGTACCACGACTACGAAGGGTTCGATTTCACCGTCTCAGGCACTTACTACGAGTACCCGATTCTGGATGATTACAAGGTCTATGATGGGGGTTCTCCTGGTGCGGATCGGATTATCTTTAATGGGGAGGATGAGTTTGCGGGATTGATTACGCATACCGGGGCGGAGGAATATGATGGGTTTGTGGCTTGTCAAGCTGTTTAAATTTAAATTTATTTTCTGGGTTGTGTGGGTGAGGGGGGACTAAGTGTTGGGGTAGGGGTGAGAGAATGAAAAGTGGTTTTTAAATTGATCAAAATGAGAGGGCAGTAAAAGTGTACTACACCCTACACAGTAGCAGTCAGCCAGTTATAGAGATTAGCACATATCAAGTGGAGATTTAAAACAGTCCGGCCCGGGCCGGTGGGTCTCAGCTTCAGCTGCAGTGGGCGGGGTTTCTCCGAAAATGATAAAATTTATACTACTCCTGCAGCTCGGAACACCACCGTCGGGAGTTCCGACTGCACTTCGGGATTTGAAATCGGATGCCCCCTCTACGCATGTCTTAATGCCGTCTGAACTGTTCCATTTCTATCTAAACACATAATCCATATTACTTTGCCACGGTTCAACTAGTACATTGTCCCCCACCCAACTCATGTTAACATCCAACATGCTGTGGTCGGTCCAACTCGGTGCTTCCAGTGCCAGGCTAGACAAGTCAAGCGCCGATTCCATTGATAGCTCGGACTCTGCTCCTGTGAAAAATCCGAGACTACCCACATCAGAGCCAATTGATGGGTCAACCGTAGACGGAATTAATGCCCCCTCAAACGTGCCCAGATGGCCATGATCGGATATTACGCCGCTAGATACATGAGACCCTGGAGAGGACGCTGCCGCGGAGTCAATGCACGATGCGTGCTGGCTTGGTGACACCATGCGTGCAGGAGGATGAACCATCTCTTCTGCGCGCCTGCGAAGATCATCCATGATCTCTGAGGCTCGGCACGACAACCCTAGACTGTTCACGAGAATAGCAAATGCGACCTCAGCAGTATCCAGCGCATTTCGGGCTTCTGCAGCGAAGGTACACATTGGATTGGCCAAAATGAAGGTAATGAGGTATAGGCAGCTATCCCACTGGCAGCGGAACATCGGGAGACTCCTCGCGAGACTTTCACTTTCAGTCAGACACTGGTGGCAGATCACCGTTAAGGTGACGGCATGCTTCACGCCAGTAACAGCGTGCGCATGTGCTCGCGGCATGGAGCCCGAATCGCCGCCCTGCAGGCAGAGAAAAGGTCGTAAAACCGCCAGACTCAGACTATGGTAGCTGATTTCCAGGGCATACTGCTGCCGCTGAAGCCATGAGGGCGCTTTACCGTCTAGACTAACAGTTGCTCCTTTCAAGAGGAATGAGAACCCCCGACTACCGTCCTTTCGAGGAATCCGTAACGGAGAAGGGACTGCTTTAAGCCCTTCCCGGACAGCCTTAAGAGGTCGCACCATGAACATTGCGATAGACTCCAGGAGGCCTGGTAGGTTGCGAATGTCGGTCTCGTAGGTTTCCCGGAGAATCTCTTTTTGTTGTTGGTCGAAGACTGTGCGTACAATCTGGATTGACATGAGCATTTTGGCCCAGTGCACCTGAAAGTGATGCGAGCTTGAGCCGCCCATTGGGGAGATCGTCGGCCAGCCGCAGGATACCTCACCCTGTACGATGAGAGATGACATTCCCATACTAGTGGTGAGGTAGCTCTCCAATGTATACAAAGCCCACCACACCCGGCGCCGGACCTCCCGCTGCCTCGCATCCATTTCCTCGGGGGGATCGTGGTGGAGGTCTAGCCCATATGCCAAACGCACTGCGCCGTCGATCGTGGTGTATGCAGGCTCAATGCGGTCTGCGTACAGCAGATAGATGCTCGAGAAGATGAAGGTCTGCACCGTGGCCAGCGTTGGGGCCGCCTGTTCCTCTTCTAGAAGAAGTTGCCGGGTGCGATTATACAGCTGTTGCCCGGCTATCCGGACATTGCTGCGACCTGATTCATTATTGGAGACAGCAGTACTGGTGACCTGCATGCATATGGCAAGTAAGCTGTCGACAAGAGCTGATGACTGCCGGACTTTGCGTCTCGGCGTCCACAGGGAATCGTAATATGCCTGGAATTCCCCCACCCCAAGGATGGGCCAGAGTGATTGGACATGGGGCCAGCCCGTGTTGAGTAGATGACTCTCATCGGTTCTCGACAACTCAATTGGAAGACTTTGTTGTTCGCTGACAACAGGGATGCCTATTATATCGAGCTCTGCTGTCTGAACCCCTGGTCTAGCGGCCCTTCTGACAGAGAATACCATCTGTTAACAGCCTGCGTCTCTCCCACTAACAGGGAAAAATAAGGAAACGGGGAGAGAGGGACACCTACAAGCTCGCTACTCTGTCAAAGCGCGAATCCCACTGTTGAGACATGGTGCACCGCGCAAGGAAGATATCAGAAAAATGTAGAGGTGATGATATAGTCAATGAGCGTTTGGTTCCCTCGAAACGGGTTTTGCGCACTGATATATTGAAAACTCAGGTCCTGCCTGCCACTACACTCTTCTCCCATTGTTCTGATAGCCAATTTATGTTCTGGAAAGGAGCGGGTCCGGTTGCAGACGCTGCAGTCTGCCATCCTGGTTGTCGGGTATATCAAAATCTGTTTCAGTAGCAAATATAAAGTTCGCCACCGCGCTACTTAAAGGCTTGCCCAGTACGTAGTACCCTCTAGGCGCATTGCACCAGTAAGAAAGCCTGGAAAATCCTTCCTCGCCACCGTCTGTCAGACTAATGGCATGTGGGGGCGCCCGGCGCAGACTGGAAAATAGTTGACAGACGCACTGATAGGACAATGTATCCTTGTCACGGGGTATACCCGAGACTAAGACGACTAATTAATTTGAGCACTGCACTGAGTAATTTTGGGGTTGTCGGCAGAGCGTTTGCTCAACGACAGCTGTCGGGCATCGTGCATAAGCCAGCATCTCCGTCGACTAGCGAAGCTCAGCGATACTCCCTGCCTCCACTTTCGGTATGATCCACAAACGGGCCAAAGTGACCAACTCGTCTTACTGCAGGATGTGGGAAAACCCAGACAAAAATTTTTTTTCCCTTAGCTGAGGAATGCCATGGGTGTGGATGGGGGCGATGGTACTGTTGAGAGTATAGCAAGGAAATCTACACAAACAACAATGTTAGTACTCACTGTATAATTGGCTTTCAATTTAAGTCGTGACTTGATGTATTCAAGAACTCGGTTGAAGTGACAGAGAGTACTATTTTCTCAGTGGAACATGTTACTGGTAAGTCTGACAGTTTGACCATCCGTGGAAAAATGTGCCAGAGTCTAGATCCGAGCCCAGGCGAACACATTGCCTATATGTCAGCCGCTATTATGCATCAACCATGCGGGGTATTTACTGTGGCCACCTGTTTGTTTGTCGTGCAGATTCAGATTTTCACTCGTGCCCAGGAATCCTTGTATGTGCTGGCAAGAGATTTGCTGGGTTGCTTGCCTGTACTCCGACGAAGAGGTCGAAGAGGCTAGAAACTGGAAGGAGGGAACTCGAGGAAATCAGGTGATTCCCTTCATCACCCACAACCAACACAAATGGCTTTTGCACTGTAACATCTCTACAACACCCAGGTTACCAGCGGTACGATTAGCATTCTGATTTGGTCCAATATAGCTTCCATCTCCGTAGTTTACTGAAGTCTGGTTTTTTAGTCTTTACAAGGTCAGTCGTCTGTGCATTAGGCATTGCCCTGTATGAGGTCGAAAACATGTGCATGAAACAGCCTTCGCTCCCCCGGATAATCATTCCCTCTTACATTGCGTCTTTTCTAGCCTTCCATCCCTCACGGGTGCGCAGTACAGATGGTCCAATGTCTGGACTCCTGTGAAATGTCAATCGTGAGAACCGCCACGTCCTATATGTAGATTGGCTTGTGATCGGTGATCCAGCTATTTTGTGGCGTAAGCCACACCCTGTTATTTGTATGATTGGCATAAGCCGACACCGATGTACAGCGGCGGAAGCGCCGAGTAATCTTTTATCTTCCCCGATGCGGCAATGGCTGGTGTCTTCGTCCCCAGTGCGGTCTCAAAGAACAACATTCAGGTGCATTGATCCTGGGTTGTAACGTAGGTCCACCTATTCAGATCGAGAAATCGCTGTGTCGAGACGCTTATTTTGCCGTCGTCGAGCATTGGCGGAGAAAGTAGTTGCTCGGTTATCTTGTGTGCTCTAGGGTCTCTTGCCAAGAGTACAGTGTCTGCTCCTAGTCTGTCACCAGCGGATTTCTGAGCTGCTGCAGGCGGTCTGGACCAATTACGAGACCACGCAAATATTTTCCGGCCCATGACAATGCCGCGTAGGAATCCTCAGCCAGGATCTGTCTTCGAAGCTGAGGGGCGATGCGGTGGTCCAGCCAAACAGAGGTGCATCAAGTGCTTTGTCAATCTCTCCTACCAGCACATCACCATGTATACAAAATACGTTTGGACGGAGGCAAATACTGGTGGGATGTGGTCTCAGCCGGAGGGATCAACTTCGTGCACGATTCGAAGACGTTTTTCTCGGAAAAGATAGAGTGTTATGGACTGGTCAGATAAGATCTCAGCTGTAGCACTATCCACGGGCGACTGAAGATTCTTTCTACTAGTGTATGCATGCTGTCGGAAGTAAAGGCCAGCCAGTCAGATGGGAAAAGTAGAGACAATCTGCTCGGGTTGTTGTTGAAGCTGTGCGTAGAAAAAAGACCCTTCGGGTTAGTACTTCCGAGGTGGACACCCTCCCATCGGTGTTTAATATCACAAGTGCTGAAATGCCCCTCCTTCGTCTTGACCGATGCAGCATTGGCGCATTACAGCGGACGTGTATTCGACCACGCAAGTCATGGCGTAAGACCAATCCACACATGTCTGCTACTCATATTACTAAACAGCAATAGTCCACACATTTTGTGATTATGGTTAAGGGGCAATACCTACCATAGAATTGATTGTCAGATAAATATAAAATAAAGATCGTCGTGTTATTTAGTTGATAATATTATAAAGGAAAGAACCAATCATAACCCATACTTAATGTAGGTACCTTTGCAACGGGGCAACCCTACAGGGTACAGCGCCCGACGTTCCGCACGATCCGTGTTTGCCGCTCTCCCAAGTCTAAAGTTAAACAGGAATATGCTTGCATAGAAGCTGAGGAAATTCCATACGAGCTCGCGTAGAACTTTCCTTATAACCTTCATGTCTGTACTTTGTGTTCTGACTATCACTTCTAACAGATCCGGAAATGTAGTTCCAGGTTTTGAATCTAAGAGATCTTGACAAGGAAACTCAGGTCCAAGACACTCGTACATACTACCTGTATGAATCGTAATTTTCTAGCTGCTAAGCAGACATATGCAACTCGTGCTAGACCTCGCGCCTATGTCGCTAACTTATATTACATGTCTAGTCGTGGGTAGATGAATGGTTATGAGCTCTGGGCTTTGCCGTGGCGGTCCGGACGCTCGGACGCTTTCCGGCAGTGTGACAGCTGGCTGGTTTTCGGTGCCAAGTGGGGAATAAGTGCCCATGGACAGATCTCGAATTCCTTCAACAAAATCGAACTATAGCGAGATAAGACTAAGGCATTGAGATCTTCCATGGGCGTTGTGGTGCAGAATTATGGCGCGATTGTGTGTGTCAGCAAGTTCTAGACCACATGATGCACGGGCAGACCAAGAATGGGATGTCGATATATGGTGGGCTAGTCCGAGTCTGCGTATAGAATGACAGGAAGAACCATGTTGGTTCCAGTAGCCTTCGACCACATTTCACAAGAGAGGAAGAGCGCATTAGTCGATATGAGTTACCCAGGGCGTTGAACATGATGTAATTCGATTAATACCGACTGTAATCCCGGGATGGAATTGGCGATTGTGGAGGCCGTGAATGAATGTCTTGGGGCACCATCGCAAGCTCTCTTCTGTGATTAAGTGACGCGAGTCGAAAAAGGTATGAAGCAGAAGATCCCATAGCAAGAGGTCGACTTCTTGCTTGCGCGGACTTTTCAGAGAGCTGAGCTTTCAGCAAAATAAATCCGGCTTTGTATATTCTTGAAGTCATCCATCTGTCGCCCTGAAATCTGTCGGGTTTTGCTGTCAGATAAAGCTGTACATCTTCTCGCAACAGTCCTTCTAACCCAGCTGCTGTTGATAAATATCGCGAAGTAGCTAGAACAATATCACGAGAAGAGGAACACACATATATTTGGCCAATTAATATGTCCGCCAAAGGCGACCAGAGTAAGCATTAAATGTATGGCCGCTCCATTAATTAGTAGGAAACAATATTAGATCGGAAGCCTTTTCATACTGCCTTTGAGCATTTAAGTATGAGAAACTACACCATTAGCACGTTTGATGCAAGCCTTTAGCTAATGGGCTTGGTTTGGCAGGTTACTCAGGGAGCTATTCTCTTGACCGAGTGGGTAGAATGGAAGATTTCACAAGATTTTATCAGGTCATGCGGCGCGCGCGGCGAGGGGATTGCATCCATCCGTATGGATAATTATTTCAAAAACTTCTATGACAACAAAAGCTAGAAGCATCGAGCTCGCCATCAATTACATTGTAAGACCTAGAGGTAGGGCATATTCGCAGATTCTCAAGTGCATTGACTGGTCTTATAGGAAGTTACACTAAGCTCAGATTGTCGATTAAGTTCTCAATGGAGCCATATTACATGCTGACCTCATAAAGTCAGCCCTATGCATGTAACAATGGTTTCCACAACAGTAGATAAAGCCTTCAGTACGGCCCATATACGTGAATCGATATTCTATTCTTAGTTACAAGATTAAGCTATCTCCGGAACAGGCTTTTTACACATTACCTAAGAAATCATCCAGCACCGGGTGTATTTATAGATTCGCTTCTCCTCGATATTTTGAACATTTTAATCACCCTTGCCTTCACTTTTAGGATGCTAATCGAAGTCGCAATGACTAATGCGCACGGGTAAGAAACCATATAGGGATAACGTGTAACTCACACGTTGGTGAACTCTCGTCGCACAGGAGGCTAATCATCTGCCGTATGCCAAACCCATTGACCGTCAACCTACTCGACTTTCCCAGTGGCCTGAGCATGCAGAATACGATTGTTCCCGACGTGTGCTCGCTGGATTGATACGTGTCACATGGCAGATGACAGACTGCGCATTGAGCTACCAATCAAGTTTGACATGGTGTAAGGCCACATGTGCACATAACCCTACAAGGAAATTTCGCCATGACTTGCTTTGGCAGGACAATATTCCAAACATGGTATGTGTGGTCCGCAGTCAAGTAGTGATTATGAGAGCATGCCAATTGAAGGCTGCAGTTTCTTGAGTGAATGAAGATATATTACACTCGCGGCATGCAACCACAACAAAAGTCCGACAGAACCCAGAGATTTTACACCCAGCATTTACCACCAGAGTCAAGGTCGTAACTTTGGCCAGTTCATTGACAACAATCTCTCAATAAAGAATCTGCTAAGTTCGATTTGCTTGTGCTGCTCAGACGGCTGCGAATCCAACCGCGGTAGATCATCGTGCCAAGGTAGCTCAACTGACTAGGATAGTTCAAACTAACCGGGGAAGGTTCCTGGTTCCGAATTGGAAGACCAGCAGCCAGAGTTACACAACACACAAAGATTGTGATACCTAATCTGCTAACAGACTTGCTGCAGGGTATTTAGTTCCCGATACTTCTATCGAACGTCCAACCCGCATAGCACCGCAGTTGTTTTCCCTTTGCTCCATAGAATGAGCGACCATCTGGCTGCGGGAGTCTCCACTCCGACGGGTATCACAGCCGCTTACCTCAACGAAGGGGGACGTGCGCGATCAAGGGCGTTATGAACTTTATGCAAGGAACTGGGCACACATGGACTATCATAATGTGAACGCTCGTGGACGCCCTGCCGCCTCTTATCGCGCGAGATATGCTAGCTAGGGGGGGGGGGGGGGATGAGCTTCTTTAAGTGGAAAGTCCGGGGCAAAGAAGGTTGGGCTCCATCGGGATGATGTATTTCCCGTAAATTAGGCATAGGAAGGAAGAATTACTGATTACGGGAATAGTTAAGTGTGTTATAGGGATCAAGATTCGAGTGGACGGGGCTGAAGATGGAGAACATAGTCTAGTGGAAGGAGGGAAAACAAGAAGAGGAAGAAAACAAGAGAAAAAAACAGAAGAAGAAGAAAGAAAGGAAAAAAAAAGAAAAAAAAAGAAAAAAAAAAAAATCAAACCACACAGAACCAAGGAAGGACCACCACCGACGCGGACGATGCCGATAGAGCCGAAGCTCCTCCCAGCAAATGACTTCCGGGCGCCGGTTGCGGCCAATGACCGAGTCGCCCTCGCGAGCGTCGCATTGCAAATTAATTTCTATGACGATGATCCAGCAACTCTGCAGCAGTTGGGCTCTGCACCATCCCAGACACTGGAGTCATCCGCGGCTGTTTAGTTCGAATTAAATCTTGGCCAGGACGCCCTGGAGCTGGACTAGTTGGACTATTGCCTGAGCAGACCTTCCATCTTCCAATCATCCCTCACGGCGGCTTTTCCTCGATCCGCGCCTTACCGATTTTCTCCTCCATCTCCCCCAACTCAACTCTCACTTCATCCTCCCCTGGTGCCTTAGTCGGTTACTGCTTGCTCTCCTCCCTCTTCCTCTTAATCTCCGCTACTTGTATTCTCTCTTGCATTGACCCCGCTTCTGTATTTCTCAGCAACGGTCTGTTTAAGTCTCAAGCCTTCCCCGGCTTCCGATCTTCTCGCGTCGGTCCTTTCCCCCCAATAGCCAATCTTAACGGAGTTTTACCTCGATAAATCAAACCCCCCTTCACGGCCGACCATTGAGACGCGGAGACGCTCCAGATTGATTAGGATCTTAACGGCCAGTTAATTCAGAGCCAAAGGACCTGCGTCACTCCCGAGCGATTGCTCAGCACCATATCCGACCGAGGCAGCGGACAGGAAAGCGCTGAGCACTCGAGAACGTGTAGCGCAGGGAAGCAACGGCCCTTTCAGTGCGACTCCGCTAGTGTTGTTTGAACCATGGCAACGGAAATGCAGTCGTTCTACACCCCCTCCACCTCCACACATATCTCGTCGCATGCGCCGGCTGCAGTGGATGAGCTGATCAACAAATACTCCTCCACCATGACGAACTCCCCTTGTTCGAGTCATTTGTCCATGAAGCATCCCCGGCGCAACATCTTGCAGCGATTTGTCGACCGTATCCGGCTGGAATACTACCGCTACGAGGTTACATTCGGACTTTATGTGATGACGCCAGGGGAGAAGCTGGTGGCCAACACCTTCGTGATGGTCGTCTTGTCTTTGCTGTTCTGGGCACTGCTGGTTTATTTCCCCGCGTTGCTGTACCAGAAGCTCAGCCGTCTCGTATGGCTGTTGACCGGACACAGCAGCGAGGAAATGGGTGCAGCCTTGGGCATCCTCGACTCGCACGTCAACTCGATATCCACGCCTTCCACCTAAGCGAATCACCTGACCATTGGTCAAGCGCATCTGCCTGACCAACATCACGACTATATTATTTTTGCTCTTGGTTTGTTTGCTTTTTTTTGGTATAAGACAACAGGGTCTGTCATGATGGTAAGTAATCGCTGATTTGAGTTACACAGTGCGTTGTGCAGCTGACGATTGAGGGTTGGGATAGACCCTGTTGTACTCCGTACATTCGATTTATATGATGGCGTTGCCGTGGCGTTTCCGGGACTACTATGATCAACCTTAGCGCGTTGCTGCGCACAGACTTAATGAACTGAACGGAAAGGCATCGATTTTTAATGCGAACACGCGGACCAAGCGTGTAGGACGGCAAGTAATGTGGCATTCCACCCCGATAGAGACGGGAGCACCCGACCCTTCAGTCCTGGGTTGGGAGCTCGTGAGTTTGGATTTTTGGTTTTACCTCCTTGGCTTTGTATAATGAGTCGCTCAGGACAGCAGGGTCGGGGGGAATAGGATGTCTCCCAGATCGGATTCCACACGCGAATCGATGTACAGATGAACCTCGTGTGGTTTAGGCGAATGGTATTGTTAAATGTCTAGTAATGCTTAATGTCAAATATGAACCCGTGTATGATTGATCTGCAGCAAGGGATATGATTTCCCTCATCAGTGTTGTTCGTAAGTACTGAAGTACGAACTGTGCAAGGAAGCATGCGTGGACACGAGCGATCCGACCGGGTTGATAAACAGGGGACATGATGATGATGATGACAAGGCTGGAAGGGGATGTCGGTCAAGAGCGCCCGACACGCTGCTGCACACAATAACTCTTTGCTAATGAAGTGGAGAGAAGCATACGCCAACGATAACCAGCCACAACATGCCCAGCCCTGTCTTTTAAATCGTGGTGGAGGAACACCGCCATGATGCAACGGGTCACTAGTACTGCTCTGCTGTGCCATAGCCTCCAAAGCCATTCACGGTCGCGGGATGTTGCGTGGCCTGCGGGAACACAACCAAAGTGACACTTCACAATGACTGGTTCCGCGTTGCTCAGTCATCGGGGAGTGTTTTCCATTAGGACTGGCGGCTGACGACGAAGTTTCTTGGAGATCAGCAGCGCCCAAAAATAGTCGCCCGCCCAGACTGAAAACCGCCTGCCTAAACTTCGTCCTGCGTCTTTCTTCCCCATCTTTATTATCTCACCGGCTTTTCGTTCATTTGTCCTTTCTCTTGACAGCTTGACCGTGTTATTCCCCGTCTTTGTCTGTTGATATTAGAAGAATCTCTCGTTTCTTTTTTTTTTTTTTTTCTAGATCCTTCGTTTCGTTGGATCGTTGGGGGCCATTTGCCGCAGTTGAAAGTCGGTTCCGGGTCAGGGGCATTCTCTGATTGATTGTTTCAGCCCTGCTTGTTGCCCGCCAAACGTGCCGTCGTCATCTCTGCCAGACGACCCCTGTCAACAAACCATCCTCTCGTTCGCAGAAGAAAAATCAATTTCTACTGTTTACTACGCAACCACACGATCAGTCAGCGAGAAGCTTACCGGACAATCGCTTGCACGCAGCCATCACACTGACCTGATTGACACACGACCTCCTTGTCTGCGCTTTTCGCCCGCCCGGCTGTCCATTCAATATGGCAGCCAACAGCTACTACCATGGCGGTTACAGCAACAACCCGCCTTCCTATGAGCAAGCTAATCCTCACTTCGATAACATTCCGACCCCAGGCCATCCTGACTTCCACACACATCCTTACGAGCCCACGGCAGCCGACCCTCAACTTCACCACAGTCAACAATCTCTCGGTTCCGACCAAGCATATGCGGCCGGTGGAAGGCTGAATGATGAACCCTACTCTGAAAATATTCCGCTGAAGAGCAATCAATATGCAAATGGATCTCCGCCGCCGAACTGGATGCACCAGCCGACTCATTATTCGCCCACCCCTGAAGATATCGAACCACCGGTCGCTCCGACAGCGCGGAGGAACAGGAACAGGAAGAAGGGATTCTTCCAGAAGAAGATCCCGTGGGTAACATATGCGTTCACCTTGGTCCAGATCATTGTGTTCATCGTGGAATTGGTGAAGAATGGTATGTCCGGCTGGCAAGGAGGTCCCTTGCAATCTATCTAACAATTCTGCAGCTCAATTTACAGGCTCTCCTATCGAGACAAAACCGTCCTTCAACGTGATGATCGGACCATCCTCGTACATGCAAATCTACATGGGATCGCGCTACACACCATGCATGAAGAACGTACCTGGCATTCAGAACGCCAACGAAACGGTTCTCTTCTCTTGCCCGAATGCCACCACGACGGCGACTGAGTGCACACTGTCTGAAGCGTGCGGTTTCAGCGGTGTACCGAACCCTCATCCACACGGATCGCTTGACGACAAACCGGCGCCCAATCAATGGTTCCGGTTTATTATCCCCATGTTCATTCACACTGGATTCGTTCACATCGGCTTCAACTTGATCGTGCAGTTGACCATGGGAGTTGACATGGAGCGGATGATTGGCTGGTGGCGGTATTTCCTGGTTTATGTGGCCAGTGGAATTTGGGGCTTTGTTTTGGGAGGCAACTATGCCGGGCAGGGCGAGGCGTCGTGCGGCTGCTCTGGTGCTCTGTTCGGTATCCTCGCTCTTTTCATCTTGGACCTCCTCTATACATGGAAGGACCGCGCTTCTCCTTGGGTGGAGTTGATCATTATGATCCTGGGTATTGCGGTGTCGTTCGTATTGGGGCTCTTGCCAGGGTTGGATAACTTTGCTCACATTGGTGGCTTCACCATGGGGCTGGCTCTGGGCTTGTGTCTTCTTCGGTCGCCTAACGCGTTGCGCGAGAGAATTGGCCTGGCGCGGAACCCGTACGTTGCCATGAGCGGAGGGGCGGGCACTCCCACGCCCGATGACAGCCAGAAGGTGAATACTGGGCCCAGCCTGGCTGATTTCCTCAAGGGACGTCGGACTCGCACCGGAGCAGGCGCCAGCAACAACAAGTGGAACCCAGTGAACTTCTTCCGGGGTCGGAAGCCGCTGTGGTGGGCATGGTGGTTGGTTCGCGCGGGCGCCTTGGTGGCGGTGCTCGTCGGCTTTATCCTTCTGATTGTCGATTTCTACAAGTATCCCAAGTCGAACTGTTCCTGGTGCTACCGGTTGAGTTGTCTGGTAAGTAATGCAATGCTCGTGAAATACGCTCATGCTAACGGTGTCGCAGCCTGTCAATGGATGGTGCAAAGAAGGCCAATTGACGACGACAACGACAACGAAGACATCCTGAGCGACTACATTGCGAAACATTTTCTTTCTTCACTGTGTTATACTCTCTGGTATATGGTTTGGTCTGGTTTCTTACGATATCCTGTCGCATCTGCGGTTAACATATATCGAGGCAGTATTCAGCGGCGTTTGTGATACTTGTATCTGGTGTTGTAGTTGCATCAGCGACTCATGTTTATACCATAGTATGGGATGGAAATCCCAATGATAAATGATTATGATTGCGCAGTAACTGAGAGTAAATAATACCAGGCAGCTGTTCTGTGAACAACCAACAGGTGCCGAGCCACAATCTAAATATAGGAGCATGTGATCGGCAAACCGTGGCTGTGCGGTACGGTACATGTAACGTAAGAATAATGTGGTGCCTCAGATCGCCAGATCCATCAGTTCCATTCCTTCCCTCCACTTCCGCTCTCCCCGTCATCTCTCATTCCCACTTGACTCCTTCCTAGACTCGTTTATAGTAGAGTGTATTCTCCAATTGCTGTACATTCGAGTTGTCACCGCTGCGCTGCTGATACCACACCCTTGTATATTCGGTTACCGCCATGATTTGAATCGTCGCTCGCAACGTGGATGTCATCTCGCTGATACTCCATACTCCATATGACCATGGCAACACTGGCAGCCTCACCTCCATCCTCGCCTTCGTGGCCGAAACGACGTCCGCGGGCCTGGGCTCTCCGCATTGAACGCTACTGCTGCACGGCAGCATCATTCTTCCCTCTGGCATTCGTCTACAGCCTAACGACATGGGCCGTCTGGGTCGAGGCCAGTGTCGGCTTCAAGCCGTCTGAGAGTGCTTGGATCGGTGTGTAACCGTGGTTTCTCATTGTTGCACTCATTTGCTTACAGACCTGCGAACTAGGTATTCCAAGCTCCTTCGTCGGAATCATCCTCTACATCGGCCTGAACGCATGCTACACGGTCGCCGTCTTCACCGATCCCGGATCCCCCCTCACTCCCAGCGGCCGCGGTCGACATGAATATAGTGCACTTCCAGTGACCGAACTACCACAATATACCGCCTACACCGTAAGTTCGACCGGTGGATCCCGATTCTGCAAGAAATGCCAGTGCCCCAAACCGGACCGGGCGCACCACTGCTCGACATGCAAGCGCTGCGTGCTGAAGATGGATCACCACTGTCCGTGGCTGGCGACATGTGTCGGACTGTACAACTACAAAGCATTTCTGCTGTTCTTGATATATACTTCGATCTTCTGCTGGGTGGATTTCATCGTCGCGGCGCTATGGATATGGACGGAAATGCTGGACGACAGTAAATATATCGATGTGGATCAGATGCTGCCGATCAACGTGGTGTTGCTGGCAGTGCTGGGTGGTATTATTGGCCTGGTGCTGTCAGGTTTTACCGTCTGGCATATCAGCCTGGCGTTGCGGGGAATCACGACGATTGAGTGTCTGGAGAAGACCCGGTATGTGTCTCCGTTGCGGAAAGCGCTGGATCGCCACCGCTACGAGAATGTTTTGGGCAGCGAAGGGGGCGATCGAGAAGGCTTCGGTCACCGGCTGCAGGACTACGGAGGACAGATCCTCGACGCCCACGCGAATGCGATCCCGGGAGTGACGCGGGCCGAAGAGGGCGAGGAACCGACTCCTCCGCCCAGTGTATCACCGTCTGGGATGCGGATGTCACCCGCACAGCAGGCATTGTCGCGATCATACGCCGAGATGGAGCGCCAGCGTGAGCACGACCGGTATCAGAACTACCTGGACGAGGAGGACAGCGAGAAAATGCCACACGCATTTGACCTGGGATGGCGACGCAATCTGCGGCACTTGTTCGGTGACCGTCCGCTGCTGTGGCCAGTGCCGGTGTGTACGACGACAGGCGATGGCTGGCACTGGGAGCCGAGCGTGAAGTTCATGGAGGCGCGCGATCGCGTGCGGCAGCGACGGGAGCGGGAGGCGGCGGAGCAACAGCAATATCAGCGGGACCTGTACCAGCGGAATATGAACAACAGCCATGCATGGGGTGCATCTGCCGCAGCCAACTGGACGCCGAACCAACCACTGGATGTGGTGCGCGACCCGGAGCGGCCGAACACGGGCGTGTCGATGAAGACACTGGCGCCGATGTCACCACGGCTGCGGGGGCAGGACAGTGAGGGAGAGATGAGCGAAGAGGAAACGCACGGACGAGAGGATGAATGGCGGAGCTGGGATTGATGTGTATTAGTATATACTAGGATGATAATGCTTAAACGCGTAGAACTATTATGAATGATTTTTAACTACGGAGTTAATGGAATGTGAAAGACACCTGATTATTAAGGCATGTAAACGTCAGGCCAACTGGCCTATCCGGATCTCCACCTTATCTATATCTCCGAGTATCCATCCATCCATCAATCACATCATCACCTATACCTCACCTCACACCATCCCACCATCACACACACACACACAAAACCTACCTACATAAGCAAATAACACCCACATCACCAACCGACCCGGTGTGACACCACCAACCCTACAAAGACAAAAAAAAACATGTCCCCCTCCACCCGCCGCCTCCTCAAAGAATCCACGGACCTCCAAACCAACCCATCACCCTACTTCCACGCCGCCCCGGTATCCGACAACAACCTCTTCGACTGGCACTTCACACTGCTGGGCCCACCACCACCCTCCCCCTACGCCGGAGGCATCTACCACGGCCGCATCACCCTCCCACCCACATACCCACTCCGCCCGCCCAGCTTCCGATTCCTGACGCCCTCGGGGCGATTCGAAGTCAACCGCGAGATCTGTCTCAGTATCTCAGGCCATCATGAGGAGACGTGGCAGCCAGCGTGGGGGATTCGGACGGCGTTGATTGCGTTGCGGAGTTTCATGGATGGGGATGCGAAGGGCCAGGTGGGTGGGTTGGATGTGGCGGATGAGGTGCGGAGGAGGTATGCGAGGGAAAGTAGGGCGTGGAGGTGTGAGGGGTGTGAGGGGAGTAAGGGGAGGGGGAATGAGGTGGTTATGAGGGAGTGGTGGGGGGTTTGCAAGGAGAGGGGGGTGGTGGTTGAGGGGAGGATTTCGAGGGGGTTTTTGGGGGGGAGGATAAAAGTGAGGGTATCGAGGAGGGGAAGAAGGATGGGGATGGGGATGGGAATGTGGATGTGGATGTGGATGAGGTTGCAGCTGCGGATGCAGGTATATCTGCAGGTGTGGTGGATACGGGTGCGGGTGCAGATATGGACACGCCTCAGGTTCAGGTTCAGGTTCCTCAAGCAGAGGTAGTACAACCACAACCACAGCAGCCTCAACAACAGCAACTACAACATACTCCCCCAGCAACCAGACCTGCACCACCAGTGCCTGCTGCACCAGCTGCTGCTGCTGCTGCAACATCTCAAGACACACCCTGGCTCGACCGAGCCATCATCGGGGTCATCATCGCCCTAGTAGCCATGATCCTGCGACGGCTAACGCGCGACATGGACATGGACTGATCCTGATTCCTCTTTACTTCTATCTGTGTTCCACATGAAGCAATGGTGTTTATTTGGCGTTGGATGGTATCTATAAGTACCCTGGGTTATTAGGTATAATGGTTATGATTGTGTATATTAGATGTTTGTGTTAGGCTTGCCACAGGCTTTATTCTTTGCTAGGATAAGTGGTAATATCAATGTTAAGTTTGTGATTGAATGTTTGGGATGTAGGATGTAGGATATGGGTATGAGGGTATGAGGGTATGAGGGTATGAGGGTATGAGGGTGTAGTAGTATCATATGTCTGGGATGGGGATTAGTGATTGTAATTCAGGGATGGATGGTGTGATGGAGAGAAGAAGTCAGATTGTATTGGCGCTTTACTATCTGTAGTAGACAGGCAGGTTCTGTATGGGATATAGTTGGAGGTAGAACTGACATCGAAATTAGGCCTGGCATTAAATTAGACTCATTTATATACATCAAGTTCGAGCTACTAAACACTCACTAAATCTGTATCTGCCAATGTAACATCATTGATAATCACCCAACACCATCCACCACCATTCTCGTACTACCCACCCCGACTCCTGCGTCGCCACACCCACCCCCTCCAACCACTCCAACAGCAGCTGCACCTCCCACTCGCCCATCGTCGGCTTCAACATCCCCGCTATCACACTCGCATTGATCCCCGGCCGCGTCGCCACGCATCCCACGACCGCCGCCAACGCCATGTCCCACAGCACTCGGACAAACGACCCGTGGATGTCGTACCACAGGGGTATCTTCGCTGGCAGCTGCGTGGCCGCGTCGACGCCCTGCGGACGCGGTGCTACAAGGCTTCGCATCTTCTCTTGGATAGGGTTGCCATAGACGTACGATTTGGCCGGTCGCACCTCCATCGAGAATCGCAGCTTGTCCTTGTCGATCTGCCGCGTCAGGTAGCCCCCGTCCGTGAGTCCGTACTTCTCGCGCGGCACATCGCGCGGGTGAAGCACCACACGACCCGTGGCAAACAGGTTGATCACTACAAGCATGTCGCCGTCTTCTGCGTTGTAGTCGATGTCCATGTATCCTTGCTTGCGCAGTGTCGAATCCAGGATCTCGGTCTTGAATCGCTGCGCTCGCCGCAGCTCGGTACTTTCGATGACTCGTCGCCGGCCCAGTGCCAATAGGAAGTATTCTGTCACGTCGTAGTTCCGGCCTGGGGTAATGCGTCCACGGTTGCCCATGGAGAGTGCTCTTTCTGTTACGAGAGACTGCAATGCCTGCTGCACCACGTGCTCTCCGAATATCTCTAGTGCCTGTCGCGCTTCGGCTGGGCGGTACTTCTCCTCTGGTGTCACTACGTTGGCTCGCACCCAAGTCTTGACCACTTCCAAGCGGGACAGCTCCGCTCTCCGCGGCTGAGGCCGGTTGGATTTCTCCGGCAGAGGAGCAGCGAATGGGACACCGGCGATCAGGGCGCGCTTGCGGCCCACGGTTATCGACTGGTTGGTTTGGTACAGTTCATCGATTGGTACGAGCGCCTCCTCCCTTAGTTCAAAGACGCTGTCAAACTGTTCTCGCGTTGCAGGTAGATCGGGGAGCTTCTCGGACTTGGGGGCATCTAGTTTCGTGTTCGCCCACTCGATTACCCCCTTCCAGTCATACCCTTCCAGGTTGTCGTAGTCAATGGGAGGGACCTCGTTATTAGCATACGCCTCGATGAACCTTTCTTGGAAATCGCCTTGCAGCTTGGCGATCTGCAGACGATATTTTCCAAGTATTCCTCTAGCTCGGTGAATAACAAAGGCTGGATCCAAGTCCGGAAAGCAACAGCAAAGAAGGGACCAATCAACCAGACGAGCATCGGAACCTCCAGCTAAACTGCGCACAGCAACAATTGCGGCTATGAACTGCTGGACTAGTGTCCGTGGCATCTGCGAGACAAGACGGCTCCGGCGTAATGGCTGGCGCGAGACGGGTTGAGCCGTAGCAGGCTTATTTCCGTCAGTAGCAATGCTCTCATTCAACTTGGCAAGACGACGATGCCCAGGCTCGGTAGCAGTCTCGGACCGTCTTCGCCGCGATTGTGAAGTTTGACGTTCCAGACGCGCCTTATGTCGAGTAATCATGGGTGTCACTTCTGTAGCTGCGTTGCCAGTCTGCTCGTCGACATCGAATCGGATATCGCCCTCGATACCAGGAGTCTCCATGTTTTGAACAGTCTGGTTGATGTAGAACAGATCCGCGCTCTTTCGACGGAGCAAATCCTCGTGGCTGAGCTCCCACTTGAGAATAGTATTGTTATCCCGGAAGAACTGGCGTGATCGTGGGTCAGCGTCTCCAGTGTCGTCCATGACTCGTCTCCGCGTCTGGCTGAACAGATCATCAAGGGAATGCGGTAGGTCGTGAGTTTTCTTTCTTCCAGCCGCTTTCGCGCGGTCTCTTGCAGCTTGTATAGCCGGTATTCCAGCTTCCGTACCAAAAGTTCCAGTGGTGGCATGGAACGTCGGCTTCGTATTCATGAGCATCGCGTGGGGTGCTATAGTAGACCACAGTCGCCTCATCTTGCGCAGTGAAGCCAGCCCTGCCTCCACCTGCTGTCTTTGTCCTCGTCTGGGCCCATCGCCCGCACGCCCCGGTCGGGAGATAGATGTCAATGCGCGTGGATCATCTTGGTCACCGCGACGACTCAGAGTCATGAGTCGCACGATCTCTGCACCGTCTGCTGTCTCATACTCCTCTCCCATACTCAAATGTTGCAACAGTTCGCTACGCAGCATATGGCGTCGGCGCTTTTCCACGGCGCGAACCATTGCCGGCTTTTGGTGCAGCTGTACGGTAATGCCCCGTTCCACGGGGAGCTGGGAGAGTAGCTTCTCATCTCTGCGTGGCGTACCCCGATTGCCATTCTTTGAGATTTCGGGGTCAATCTCAACATTAGGAGGGAAATAGTACCGATCTGTGGCCAGCATTTCCTTTTGCATATCCAGAATCAGGGGGTCGTCGGGCTTCATGTCCGCCTTATAGATGATCTTCTTTGTTACCATGACACCCTTCCGGTCTCGCCCACTGAAAGTCAACTGCCGGACCTTGCCAGCATCAACCATGGTTTTGACGACCGATCTGATTGTGCGCAGATCTGGTATTTCCTTATGTCTCTTCTTTTGCCAGGCTGTCATAAATGGATACCAGATTTCTGTGCCCATAGGATACGCGCCGCCAGCTTGTTCAAGGATATCCATGACAATCGACCTCCGAAGGACAGCGACGGAACCACCTTTCTCTGCAAATATTCTTCGCTTTCTACCAGATGGCTCAGGTGCTTCTGGGGCACTCTTCTTTTGCTCTGTCGCTTCGGGCGCAGCCGGTTCAGCCAAGCTTTGTTGAGTCGTGTCGTTGATTGTAGCGATTTCTGAAGATTCGTTGGTAAAGGCACCTCTCTCCGATGGCCTTTCCGCCGCGGGAGCCTCAGGCTCATCTTCAACGGCATCATTGCCTTTTCCGGTTTCAGCGCTCGACTCGGTGGTTGTACCTTTCCTGTCCCGTAAGGCTTGTCCAGAGCGAGCCCGTTTGAAAAAGGTTTCTATATCCCCATTGCGAGTGGCGGGTCGGCCGCTGCTCCGCGGGAGTTTCCGAGATGAAACGTTATCCAATACAGAGCCGTCGTCTGTCTGCGAGGGACCTTCTTCTGTGAGCATAGGCGACGCTGCTCTTTTTCTTTTAGTTCGCCTCAAAGGCGACGTCTGTGTCGCTTCAGGTTCACACTCGAGCGGTTCTGCAGTCGGCGAACCATCTTGCGAATCCCCATTGACTTCCTCAACACGACGGTGCTTTGGCGCACATTCACCCTCCAATCCATATCCGGTATCTGACCCATCCTGACGCAATCTCTTCGAGCCTCTAACAGAAGGAGCTGGAGAAGTGGATTGGGGTGGGAGACCATCATCAACTGCAGGAGAGGACTGAGTCCGTGCGCTGGCCTGCAAACGAGTCTTCCTGGATACAAGCACAGACTCATCATCTGGCACAGTCGTGTCTTTCTGGAACCAAGGCAAAGTTGCCAGCTTTGGTGTCTTGAACACGGCGATCCGACTGATTTTTGGCCGCCCTTGCCTCTTGCCTGCCGGTCGCCGACGTCCACGAGTAGTAACGTACACACCCGGCCCGGTGCGTTCTATGAGCAAGACGCTGTACTCCGTCCAAGTCTCATCCAATCCAAGAGCCTCAAGCTTCTCCTTTTCAGACATGCCCCGGAATACTTCGGGATCAAGTTGTGACTTCCTTGGGCGGCTTTTGACCGGTTGCACAGAAGGCACATCAGCCATCTCTGTATCAGAGCCCTCCTGACCTTCTATCTTCACCCTAACCGGCGTGGCATAAGGCTGCGCAGTCGAGTCACCAGAACCCCGAATACGTTGATGGATCGTGTATGTTCCATCCTCCCGGCGTGCCGCTACGGCATCGCTGCCTGAAAATACGTAGTTTGCCGGTTTAACTACCGAGATACACTCCAGCAGTGTAACGTTCCCATCCTTGCATAATTCCTTCTTTGGCACAGCGAGAGTGAGCCCATGAGCATCAAGTTGGGGAGCGGCATCAACAGGATGAATGTGTGCGCTAATTGACTTCGCTTTTTTCGGAGCGAACTCAACCGCCTCCCACAGCGCCTCCCCTGAATCGACCAGCTGCTTGAAGTTCATTGCAGTATAATGCACATAATGAGTGATAGTGCGCTGAAGCGCCGTATCTCTGACAATAGCCAGATGGCGCAGGTGCAGGGGTTGGGATAGCTGCCAACATTCTACGAGACGACTCACTGCGTTCTCCAAAGGTCGTCTGAAGTATCCGCCAAAACAGGCTCTCAGGATTCCCTGATGGCTTTAGTCAACGTTTGCTATCACAGTAGTATGTCAGGTGCTTACTTGATTGGTGATACCATCAGTTCCTGTTCGATCAACAATCTCAAAGATCTGATTGTGTATGCTCCTATCAGGGGACCAAGAAGGGAGAATCCGACCAGCCTCTTCTACTGCTTCACGCTTCACTAGTCCGACTGTGCCGTTGCTGTTTGGCTGTAAGGGGCTCTGTGATGTGCCATCTTGCTCCGGCTCCATATCATCCTCAATGTCGAGATTATCTTCCTGTTCTAGATTTGAAAGTATGCCGCGACTGAATTCGTTAAATAGTTCGAAGTCTCTCTCCGTTGGTTCTCTTATAAGCATGACGCAAGGGTGGAACTTCTTCAGAGTGTCGGCATACTGAGACAAAGCTCGAACACGTTTAAGAACGCCGATACGTTCAAACTTCCGAAGCGCACGGGATAGGATCCTCCAGCGCCAGTGATCCTGAAACCCAAGCTTCTGTTTCAAGTCATTGCGAGAAATAATCTGATATTCCTGGAGGATCTGGAAGAGTTGATCAAGAAACTCTTTGAAATCGATCATGTTCTCCTGCTTGGTCGCATCTGCATTCTGGCCAGTCTCTCTGTCTACAGGGGCATGCTCTGGTGTCAAGAACTTGCGCAAGGTACAAAGACTGGTACGAGTAGACTTGACTTGAATGGCGCGTTTCTCGATGTAGCCCTTTTGCTGCAGAACATCCGTACGCTTCGGCACGGAACGTTTGTCTTGGCCACTGACTCTGACTAGTTCTGTCTGCGCAATGCCGTTGTGCTTGCGCGATGCAATAATAGAGAGAAGAGCGAATTCCGTGGGGAACACCTTGGTTTCATCCGGACCGTGACCAGCCACTGCGAGCCAGGTTCGCTCTTTGGACACAAAGACCCGGGCCGAGTCCGATGCTCCGTTGGCGGCTTGGTCTGTCTCCGCACTGGTTTGACCACGCTCGGCATCCCGGAGGCTGAGATGATTGCCTTCTCTGTCTTTGCCAACGGATACTTCTGGGTTCTTCATTAGCCAGGACCAGACCTTCTCCTGGAACCGGCGGTCCACGGTGTGCGCGCGGCCAGCTGCATCTTGCGCCGCCTTGGCATAGAAAGTATTGATAAATGTTAGTATATCGGCAGGAGAAGCGCCTGAAAGAGGTTAGTTGACTAGTCATAATAGCACTAAAACCAATGCAATCATAGGCGATAAAGTTTATGCAGGTATCCAAAGGCAAGATTCGCCGTTGAATAGACCCGAGCTGGATGTTACCTCATGGTCCAATCAGACGGATGGCGCATGCAGGGGTTGGCCATGTCGGTGGGGATTTTTCGAGACCGTCACGACCGGAGGAAAAAGAAAAAGACGAGCGAGCAACTGACCTTGATCACCGCAGAGGGCAATCTCCGCAAGGAGAAAATCAATCAAATCCCGTAGACTCGGGGCCATCTTTGGCCATGTCAGCGTCCAGACTGTCTCATGCAAATTTCGACCAACACGAATTGACGTCAATCCATCTCCCAGACAACGGGGTTGGGGAGCAGAAAATGGAGGAAGATGTAGAGGCAGAGACGCGATTCGAACCAGCGTCGCGGAGGAAATGCGAGGTGAAGCCCGAACACACCGCGGGGGTGGCGGACAGCTGTCACGTGAATCAGATGCAACAACATATTATGTAATTTACTACAATATCTGATGCATAGTTAGATTATGCTCTCCAAGTGACTGAAGATAACGATTCACAAGTGAGACTTTTGATGTCAAAAAGGGATCCTGTTCATTAACTAGAATCTATCAGTGTTACTGCACCTTCTTAGTCAGTAACACGTCAGCCGGGCCTAAACGGACTAGGAGTGGGTAGACAAGAAGGGGTGTAAGTATCACGAGGCGTCACTAAGCTCATGAACATCAAAATGGGTCAATTCTAAAGACTTCTGCCACGCAACATGGTTGTGGTCAAGCTGAAATCCTACGCTGGAGAGCTTCAATTCAAGGAGATCAGTCCAGTCGTAACGGGAATCGTCCGATGACCCTCCAGATTGCCTGAGACCCAATCTCCCAAGACGGCGGATGAGAGACCTGCCTGGTATATAAGGCCATCAGCTGTCTTCTTTAGTGGGTTGACATTAGTAGCTTCGAGCAGATAGTACTGCCCATTACACCCTCTCCAACTAGCAACAGCTATCTTAGGAACTCCATCTATGGACTTCTTGCACATATTCTTTGAGCCCATTTGGTATGCATGCTGGCACGGTTCTGAAACAGATCGCTCAATTGGAGAGGAAAGCTTGCTGCAATCAATAGATTGGCACAACAATCTCGCAACTAAATAACGGTTGCTCTCCCGAGAAGATCATCCTCCAATGGCTCAATTGAGCATAGAAGCCGGATAGATGGGAATAGATAGAAGAGCTGATGCAAGTTGGATACTGGAATATCGAGAAGATGCAGTGCCGTCAACGTCACTTACAACAACAATAATTCGATATACACCTGCCTTCATGAACCAAGTAGTGTGTAGAGAAACAAGCAACCAGCATCAGCTAGTCAGTAAGTGAGAATAACACTATTAACTGAGAGAGGCATTACAGCAGAGATGCTGTGCTACCTGCATCATTCAGTGGTACGGCCCGAGCTACCCTGAAATCGGGACGGGGAGCAAGTGGATACAACGGTCGGGAGTGGATCAAGAGACCCGTAGATGGATACTCCAGAAGTATTTGATGTGCAAAGGCAAATTGCAACTGCTAGGATTGATGGTCACCGGCTATTCTGTTTGGAGTAACTAACCCCGGCACATTCCGAGTCTGTCCTGCCAGATTCGGTCAGTGCCGCCTCAAAGAGGGAAATGGAATGGGTCAGCTGACTTTCCCACTTTGTACAAAGTAGTTTTAAAATAAGTTGACTTGGTTATGCCCTTGGTGGATGTGCATAACATGATTCCAGAAGAATAAAGTCGATTCTATATCAAAGCTCCCTTATAATGTTCTCATCCACTGCTACTGTGGAAGTTATTTTAATGTACGAAATATATGGATGATACTATTTTCCTTCCGTCGCTTGGATGCCTGTTCCATTCCTTTGCAACTGCTTGGTTCACACTTCTGCGAGAGAGATTAGCATACCCCAGAACGTCCTGTATGTACGGGAGGTACGATGGTGCCCTCAGTCCTTGCAATATCCCAGGGTGAATAAACAAAGAAACCACGATGTCTCACAAATCCTGTGCAGAACCGGTCTGGAGCGCGGGATCGACAGCTAGCAGCATGACATCACGGCCCGGTTACGTCAGGCATCACGGCCAAAACCAACCGATGCCGCCGATGGCAAAAACACTTCCACTGGAAGCCTTGGGCTCGTTTACGAGGCGTCCCTGCCGTCGTTTCCGGCCTTTTCTGGCTTATCTCTCATCGGTCAGATTGACTTCATCTGGGAATTCTCCTTCCTGTTCCTCCCATTCCCCTATCTCCGTCCTCTCCCGTCATGTCTTCCCTTGTCTCTCGAATACTATTATCATAAACCCGGCCATTGCAGATTGCGTGAGACTGACAGATTAAACTTCGCCCACCCGCACCACGACTGCCAACTCGATGGACGAGGAATCGAGGCCCGCTGCGTGTCCTGAGCCTCCACCGCTCCCATACTCCTTGCGCTCGAGGAAGAAGTCCATCGCCATCTTCTGGACCATCTTCATGATTGATACTCTGGCCCAGCCGCTTGTCCTCTACTGGGCGCTCTGGTATGCCACTGATCTTTCGCATAACCTGGGTACGTGAAATCTGCCTCTCAACCTTATTCCTAAATCAGTCACTCATTCACTGTCCTATAGTATTCAGTATCGTGACGGCTTCGTTAGGAGGTGTATCGGTATTCGAGTACTTTTATCGTCTCTACAACTTGTTCCGCAAAGACTCGCGAGCCCGTCCATTGAACGCTAGGAAGGGATGGGTACGCTCTCCGTGGCTATAACTTGTATAGAAGTGGGCGCTGACCGGATGTAGCTGGATTTCTTCCATATCAATTTCACCATCGTCTGGCTGATACTGGCGATTGAGCTAATTGTGTAGGTGCTGCCATCCATTTGTCCACGGACCAGACTAACAGCGCCACAGAGGAACCGTTCCTCAAGAACCATATGGTAAAACCAATCTCTTCGTTTTCTTTGTATCCCTGCTAACCCGCGTGGTCAATAGTCCGACTAGTTGCCATGGTCCTTCCGACGGTGATGTTTTACTTCGGCAGCATGTACCTGGCACTCGACATCCTTCGTGTTTGTGGTGTTAAAGCGCCTTTTCGGATTTCATCAACGCCCAAAGGCTCGACAATGCCGACCGCCCTATATGTTTTGATCGAGGATGTAGTGGCAGTTGATGGAGGTGGTGGTCAGATTTACCGATATGCGCTTCGCACCCGATATCTATCTAGCCCGTACTTCCGGCGTATGCTGTTCCAGATGAACTGTTTCTGGGCTGGGGGATCTATCGTTGTCGCTGCCGCCATTACGGCAATCATATTTACTGTTTCAGAGCCGGTTGCATACACTGTGAGTGAACTTCAAGCAACTAAAGCACTTGGTACTAAGTGATGTGTAGCTAGGATGGTCGTTGCCGTTCGCATGGGCTGGCCTCTGGACGTTGGTCACGATACCTTGGGTCCAAAGCGATCTTCGGCGCGAGAAAAAGGCTTGGGCAGAAAACCGGGGCCAGGGAGGTATCCCGTACACCGATGACCCTGATGCGCCCAGTGGTGGTCGGACCAGGCTTGAGGCGATGCAGGATCATCTGCCAAGTTTCGTGCCTTGGTTCCGAGAAAAGCAGGCTCCTCCGTCTACACCGAGTGATCATTGAGGTATGCCGAATCGGCGCAGAGCCTTACCAGCCGTGATGCTACCAGACCGCTGAGTGATGAGATGAGGAATTTTGAAGAAATTCTTGATGATGGAATGTTTATGACGGCTTTAGCCACTGTACTATATACACCGATACCCTGCTTGTTCCTACTTACATACATGATCTGGTTATGCTTTCTGGCCTGTGTTTGAAGACTGCATAGCCATCACACACTCCTTGATCCTGTCGATAACAACATGTCTCCCAGGGTTGTTGATTTCGCATTGGCATCACTTCTGCAGCTAGCATAGACAAATATGATACTTCGTACCAATTCCACTAAGCACTCTGCATCTTGATCCGCTTACAGCAGGTCTGCAAAGCCGCGGGTCTGCGATGGGTTTTGCAATATTCTTCCTCAAGGAGTATGCACGGCACCGGCTAGGTATATTGGTCCGCTGCGCACAACTTTGCGTCCCTTCAAGGGGGGCTGCGCAATGCCAGCGTCTGCACTGATTGTAGGGCGCGAGCCTCGGCTCCAAAGGCAGTAGAACCCGCATTGACTCAGAAGTCCCAGCGGCAGATGATACCCAGCACCTCCGACAAACCAGGTACACAGCACCGCCGTATCACATCACTGAACATTCTCCCAAAGACCCTCAAGTCGACGGTCTCAACGCATAAAACCTCACAGGCAAGAGCTTAAAATTCTTCGGGAACCCCAACTGCAACTCCGACGCAACAAGCACCAACCCAGCCTCCTTAAACAGTGTCCGAAGCTTCTCATCCGTCCTGGTCACACTACTATCCTCCTCATCAAACATATCCAACCCATTCGGATCGGTGGACTGATTCTCCTTCACGACCATAATCCCCGTCTCCGTCAACGCCTCCCGACATCGAACAAAGTACTCCCTCAACTGCACATCCGTAAGATGTCCCACGCAGAACTGCGTCCAGATCAAATCGTACTTGTTCTTCTCAGGATACCAATGCTCCAGACCCATTGTATAGATATCCCCGACAACACCCGTGCGCTTCAGCTCCGAGTTCCGAATCACCTCGGTGAACTTCTCAATGGGCTCGACGGCATCGACGCGCTCGCAGACCTGGCTGAGGAGACCCTCGGTGACGCGACCCACGCCTGCGCCGCAGTCCACGCCAAGCGGGAGCTTCCCCTCCGTCGGGCAATTGGGGATCATGCGACGCACTTTGCCGAGAAAGGTCTTGGAGCCTCGGAGATCGATTCGCGTGTACCATGGGTACGAGCCTAGCATGCCCAGCATGGTCTTTGTGTTGGCGGCGACGGAGTTCCAGTAGCGGAGGGAAGCGGCATGGTCGATGTGCGAGTCGGGAGGGGCATCGCTGGGGGTGGACATGGTGAGTGTGTGTGCTGCTGCTGTCAGCAGTAGTGTAGCACAGCGCAGTGCGGTGCAGCTCTATAAGCAAGCTTCAAGTAAGTAAGTGAGTGAGGAAACTCCTGCAAGGGATGTATCCCACCCGATGTGCTGTTGTTGATGCGGGATAAAATTTCCCTTATCGATCGGCTTATCTAATCGGTGCAGAACTACACCAATCGATCATCCACGATTCCTGTCGGAGTCAAGCGTCAACAGATCCCAACGGCGTGGTCCGGTAGCGCAGAATACAAGATAGAAGATGGATGATTCACCTGGCGATGAGCATATTGCGTTCATGCAATGGGCTGAAGCGTCGGGGATCAAAATAAAGGGCGTCACCCCGGCACGATTCCCCGGCCGACGGTTGGGGATGAAGGCGACTCGAACAATAAAAGTAGGCTGCTGAATCCTGTACTCCTAGACTTAGGGATGAGATACTATGGTGCATTGCTAATCTATATAGAACAATGAGATCATGCTCACCATTCCTGTGGACCTAATGCTGACTATCGACTCTATCCCATCATCATTCACATCGCAATTTCCTGCTGGGACATCAATACACGGGATAATGGCTGCGTTTCTCACACACGGTGATCCAGCTCTGCTGAAAGGTCTTGATGCTTGGCGGAGAGTATGGCCCTCGTTTGATGAGTTTGAAGACAGCATGCCGGTCCTCTGGCCCGCGCATCTTCGGGTATCGAATTCAAGCTACGAGGCCAACGCCAACACTTCCTCACCAGAGAAACAAGACCAAGATCAAAATAGGGGGAAAGTCCTCCTCCCGCCCTCCATCTCTGGAGAATGGAATACCTTCTCCAAAGTTCCCGTAGGCGTGGACTATGACACGCGATATCAAAACCTACTCAGCCAGCAAGAAAAGCGCCTGAAAGATGCCTGGGCGAATGTCTTGAAAGTGTACCCGGAGACTGAGTGGAAGACGTTCGCATATTACTGGTGTATTATCAATTCGAGGAGCTTTTATTATGTCTCGCCTGGGAAAGATGAGCCAGAAGACTGGAATGATGCGATTGGAATGGTGCCGTTTGCCGATTACTTTAATCATGTTGATGATGCAGTGGGTTTATCCCTGGTCTATACACCTTCTGGATAAGTGTGTATGTGTTGACAATATGCAGGCATGCGATGTCAACTTTGACGGAAAGAAGTATACTTTTCGGGCTACGCGGCGATACGGTATACTCTATCCCCTTTCCCAATCTTCAAGAGCGCAGAGGACTAACATCACTCAGAGAAGGGCGAAGAGGTATACATGAGCTATGGCAACCACTCGAACGACTTTCTTCTAGTTGAATGTGAGTATCGTTCCTTTCCTCCCTGGAATTCACCATCCCCATCTCGATCAATCCGATCACTAACAAACGAAGATGGCTTCACCCTCCCCACCAACCCATCCGACAGCATCTACCTCGACGACATAATCTTCCAAGATCTAAGCATATCCCAGAAACAGGAATTAGCGAAACAGGAGATCTTCGGGTGAGTCATCCCCACATTAACCTTCAAACACAATGACATTTCCGACTCAAATGCAGACACTGGTACTGACACCGTATACTAAAACTCACAGCAACTACACCCTCTCCCACCCCCTCACCCAGGAAACCCCCCTCCACTACGCCGCATGTCTAAAATACATGAATCTCCGGGAGTGGCGCGCATACGTAAACGGACGCTCAGAGCGGGGCGTCGACGCGCAGAAGACCGCGAGTGTGATACGGGGCTGGGTGAAGATATACCTGAAAGAGTGCATCGGGACACTGAAGATTATTGCGAATAAGCTTGGAGATCTAGGAGAAGAGATCGGAGATAGTGACAAGGGAATAGGATCAACAACATGGGAAAGAGAGAAGTTACAAATGTTGCTGGATAGATGGGTGCAGATCAGACGGATATGTGAGGGCGTCCTCGAAGAACTGGAATAGTCTGCATATTACAGCTGCATTGGCAAAGTCATTTTCAGATTAAGACCACCATGATATACTTTGCATTGCACTCTTACATACACTTGAAGAAAGAAATCGTTCATATGGATATGTGCATCACTAAATCCTTACTGATTCTTGTGCTTGGTTCGTGTCCTCCAGCCAGCGATGGTTATAGTAACTAGTATCTTATGTTACACAGAGTCTGTTCAGTCCCAAACCGATCAAATACTTATACTTTTGTACTACAATTCGGAATAGACCCAGTCCTGGTAGGCATACGGAACGGACATGAATTGCGATATCAGTACTTGAAAAGGACTGAAAGTCAATGCTAGACCAATTACCATCACTACTACCTGTCACTATCTGGAGAAATCCGCATGTAAATATACTAATCAGTAGACCTTTTTCCTCACTCTACCCATACTTACTAAACGGCTCATCCCAATTGATAACTAGAAACGATATGAAACTGAAACTGCTTCCAGCGTACATACTAAATGGCAATCCCCAACATCATCATCACGCAACATCCCAACTAAAAAACCCCTATACAAAACCTTAGAACATTCTTCCTCTCGAACCCACCCGCCCGCTCCTACTTATACTTACCTCTGTCCCCATTCCATTCCCACACATTTACCTTAGCCCCTACTACTACACATACTAACAAACATCCATTGACATCAGCACTACTATCACCATCATCTCTGAAAACCAGAATGTGCTCTCACAAAGTATACACCTACATGGAATGCGGACATCTGGGCAGTGATGGTCTTGACCGATGTTGGGAAGCTACGCAGAGGAATCAGAGTTGTCCGCGGACAAATTGGGATAGTCGCCATGCTGGCGCTCGGCCGGGGAAATGTCATGCTTGTTTGAAGATCACTTCGTCGAATTCGACGGCATCGGGGTGATTGATCCATGTTCTCTCGTCTATGTAATGTGGTCTGAGTGCTAGTGCTACCTCTACAGTTAGCATAGTGGCTGGCAAAGATTTGTGTCTTGTCCTGTCCTATCATACACGGTTCAGAGATATGTTATGTCCACTGCGTGTGCCAAAATAACAACGAAAGCCCCTTTATTCCGTAACATTTCTTCGTACACTATACACTAGCAACACAGATCAAGAGGAAAAGCAAGTGTCGGACAGCGCCACTCGCTACTAAAATTAATGTATTCCACACAAAAACCAAATATAATCAACTTTACACAAGAAGTGAAGTAAATCACACTATACCCCTGGAACACCTGGAGACATCGACAATTCGTCGACGGAAACAGGAAACCAAAAGCGTTGACGCCTATATACGACCCACTGCGCTGGGGGTATCACACGGCAAATGCGAGGCCAGTAATGTGCAGATAACAAATGACGGATTATAATAGAAATGTATGATGCAAAAAGCCAGCGGTGGGGCGGCCAGCTGAATAGAGCGACCCGGGCTCATTTTCGAGAAGGTATCAATTTCCGGCCAAAATTGCGGATCGATGTCTTGTGACTAGTCCTATTGAACATTAGCTTGGATGCCAGGGCTAGCTCAGGCATTACTTACGTTTCTTCCGGCTCGTCCCAGGTCTTGATTGTCTGTGACCTGGGCATGGCATTGCCTGAAGTCATGGGTCGAGTAGGAGGATAAACGATTCGGCGTGATTGCTAAAAGCT